CTGCTGCTGCTGCTGCTGCTAAAGCCGCTACATCTTCTTCTACCGCCACAAACCCGGAACCCTGAACCTCAAACCCTAAACCTTCTAGTGTTGTTACTGCGAATGCTACGACCACTAGTGGCCTCAGTCTTTGTGTTACGACTATTTATTTTCTCTTGCTGTAGCCTTTTGCTATGTTATTTAGAATGGGCAGGCTGCCGAGCGACTAGCGGCTTTGGACGAGCCACTGTTTGCAGTGATCCCGGTGCATGACTCGCAGTCGCCAGTGAAGCCAGCTCCTGCACGGCTTCATCGCTCGGGTGGCAGGAATCTGAAGAACATTGATATGTCTCCAGGTGCTTGGAGTCTGAGACATGCAGATACGAAGCAGCTAGGAGATGACGGGGCTGCTCGGGCTGTGGCTTCGCCTATGAAAGCTTTGCCCTCGGCCCTGCCGGAGCCTGCTCCTACGACTCCTGTTCCCACGCATCCTGTTGCTCTTTCCGAGGTTGGTGTTCTGCCGCCCGAGTCGTCTTCGGGATCGCCTTTGTTGCCCGAACCTACGGATGCTTTGCCTCCCACCCAGCAGGAGCCTTCGGATACCTTTATTCCGGAGGGTGGTGTTCTGCCGCCCGAGTCGTGTGTGGGATCGCCCTCGAGCCTGTCGCTGCCTCCTGCCCAACCGGAGCCTTGGTTTGCTGGGACCCAGCAGAATACCCAGGACTGGTGACTGCTCCTTTGGTTTCTCAAACTTACTGATGTGCACCTGTAGAATAAACTCGTCTTTCGCTGCAGGATGAACACCTTACGGATGATCGTCGCTTGGTGGCTGTCGACCCACCAAAGTGCTGGGTTCCTACGCCCAAGCCGGGCAAGGGGAAGGGTGGGCAGGTTCCCGAAGGTAAAGGCAAGGGTGTGGGTGGTGGTGGGGCTGAGCTTCCCGCTGATGCCCGGCCCTTGAATATGATGTGGTCAGATGGCCCTGATGAAGCCCCAATGCTAGCTGTGGAGATGGACTTTGGGGATATTCCGGAGCCTCCGATTGAGGAGCCAGATCTCACTGAGGGTGCGATTTACAAACGTATGTGGCGGATGTTCCGCCCGAGAGCAGACGGAAGCTACCTGTTGCCCGACTCCGTTGTCCAAGAGTATCAGAACAAAACGACAAGGCCAAATATCGTTCGTGCCTTTGAACGGTGTGGCTACGATTCTGTCGCTAGTCTGAAACACTGAGGTGAACTTCGCTCCCGTGTACTGCTTGAATCTTGTTGTGCAGCCTAGGCAAAGTTTGTGCGGAAGGTCAATAAGACCCTCGAGGATATTGAGGAGGTGGCAATAGAAGAGGATTGGGAGTTCCTGACAGAGGACGAGATGAAGGAAGCCAATTGGTCGGAGAACCTTGCTTCAAACTAGTTCGCGATAGTCCTTTATGTTGTCGCTATGTGTGGCTGCTGATTCTATAAGGGAACGCATCGCTGGTGTCAAAGCCCATTGCGAGGGCAAGAAGGGTTTCAAGAGGACATAGTGAGAGTGACTTTGTGCCGAGTATCATGATAATACTGGATGCAAAAAAGTGAAATGGGACAGTCTATAGAATCTATAGAAGCAAACATTATTGGCAGGACAACCCTGTATGACAACAAGACGATGCACTGGGCCAACACGAAGGTGACCGGTGTGAAGAAGAGACTGGGCTGCCATACGAAATAATACCCAAGCCCTGAAGCAAGCCCGTTCATTATTTCGCCCGAATACTCGCAACTCCCTAAACCCTAAAACCGAACTCCCGTAACATCTTGGCCTAAACCTCAATCACTGGTTGATCTTAATGGAAAATTCGCAACCGCAGATCCTGAACCTTGAATTATCGAACATGAACCCTTCGATTGAGCAACTGAGAACCCTAAGGCCCTAGATCGTAGTATTCTGCACTTACTTCCAAGCCCAGGACTAAAACCTCCCGCTAAATAAACCCCAAACATAAGTTTGTAACTAAAGAGACAAGGTCCTGAGCCGAATGCACAAAGCCCCCGCAAACTCGCGAACCCGAATCCGCATCCACCCCATGACCCTGAACCCTAAAATCTGAGCCTTACAAATCCTGCAGCGGTTCACACCCGAAACACTCACGATTGAAAGCTCTAAATCCTATACCCCTGAACAAACTCGCGGCCCAAAACTGGAAGTGCCAAGCAATCCCCGCATCGCAAAAACCATCCCTGGATCCTGGATCCTTTACCCGAAACCGTAAACCCCTAAACCCTTTGCTGAAGGAAAACCAACCGCTCCATCGTCCGCCGAATCTTCGAGGATGAAGAGGAGGGCACCATCGAGGATAAAGACCTCGTCATGGACTGGGGGAATATCGACATGCAAGGTGCTCATGCAAAATTATTTCCAGGGGAGTTCGGATCATGGGCAAGATCACATAAAGATGCTCCACATCCCGCCGCCGTTACATGTACATCCAACCCCGAAGCCTTGCCTGCTGAGACAACCCAATGCCTCTAAACCACCCTCATAAAAAGATGCCCTAAGCCTCAAGTCAAGACCATCACCTCTATGTCTAAACATCTAATCTTTGCCCACATAAACAATCCAGTGCCTCTAAACCGATATCAGAAAAATGCCCTGAACCCCATGACCATTACCTGTACATTTAAGCACCAAAGTCACCAAAGCTTTGCCTGCCCACACAAGCCAATGCCTCTAAACCAATAAAACAATGATTTCCTAAACCCCGTGACCATAGGATCTGTATCTAAAATAAACACCCAAGCTCTGCTAGCTGAGACGATCCAAAAGCTCGAAACCCCACTACCCCTACCTAGTAGATAGTATCTACACACCCAAGCTTTGCACGCAGAATTCTCGTATACTCCTCCTAATTCGAAGGACCCCCCTGACCATCCCCAAAACAGATCGCTAAAGAACCCTTCTTGCTTCATGATTTCCATGTGTGTTAAACTCCCTACGAGTCCTTTCACGGGTGTACCTTTTTACAGTTCGAGGTTATCACCATTTGCTGTGTTGCAGAGTTACTGGTTTTGGAGTTTGGGACTCAGCCTCACATGTAGGCAGGTTAGAAGCCCCATCATTGCCAGGGTTTAGAGGGTTCGAGTTTTGGGTTTAGGGTTCAGGTGGGGGTTTCGAGTTGAGTGTTCAAGGCTCAGGTGTTTAGGGTTTGGGGTTAGGGTTCTGGGTTGGAGTTTAGGGGTTTAGGGTGGGTCAGGATTTGTAGAACTTCTCAGTTAGGGTTTAGGTTTGTTCTCGATGCAGGTGCCCAAAGCAGTCTTCCGGCTGGTGGAACAGTGCCTTCCCTGGATGGGGTGGACAAGAAGACTCTGCAGTGCTTCCCCGACCTGGAGAAGGTTTCTACGCCTTCGTCGATCGTGCCTAAAGCAGGGGCTGCCGTGCAAAAATGCCTAGCTAAGCTTTCGGCCCGCGAGCCCGAGCTGTCATCTTGTGTGGAGACTGAATTAGTGAAGAAGCCGCCCGTTTGCAGAAATCAGCCACGAATCCCGACACATGTTTCAATAGTGTCACGCCAAGCCGCTGCATTCGAGGATGAATGCCCGGATTGCTTCGATGTACGACAGCCTCTCGAAGGAAGATGCTGACATGAACGTGCTCTACGAGCAGGGCATGATTGATGGGTACAATGGCGAGTAGCTCGTCTGCTGATAAAGGATTGTTGATGCCTTATTTTCTGTGATCCCCGCATGGCAAAGGCTGCAATCCAAGCTTCGCTCTTCGCTTGTGAAGACCCGCAGCCTGTCTGGGCCTTGCTGTGACTTTTACAGGTAACCTGCAGTCTAGATTCCTTCTTTGTCCCTAGGTGTGTGCAAGTCGTGCTACTGGAACCCCGTGCCAAGTGTGGGACTTAAAACATTAATGGGATGTATTTGCGAAGGTCCCCTCAGCCTTGAGCCCCCAAAACCCTAAGAACCACGCCCAGGACTGTCTTCGCGAATTCTGAAAAGAAGAATCTGCCCACCGGTGCAGTCGAGACGCCGTCCCGCCGAAAGCGACGCCGCACGGGCGAGGCTGAGTCGCCTGATGCTCGTCCCAAAGCGAAGGCTAAAGCCAAGGCTAAGGGGAAGTGCAAGGCAAAGGCCAAGGCAAAGAACTAAAGTCGCTAAAGGCGATGTGTTTCTGCTGTGAAATTTGGGCTGCTTATCCTGTGCCTTACCGGATAAACCTACTGTGCATAGAGCTAAACCTGTGCGGCAGAATATCATCAGATGAAGGGTCCAGGCCTCCAGGACCAAGCTTTTGCCCCAAGGTTTAATTACATGTGTTAGATGTGCGAACTTCGCATATCGTTGCAAGTGCAAAGCCAGGGCTAGGAGGCTAGGATGTGCGAAAAGAACCGATCTGAAGTTTGCACCAGTTTAGCACAACCCTTTTTGTATATTATGTGTTATCTCAACCTATGCCAGGTGCAACGGCGGGCCCGATGCTGAAACAATGGGCCGAAGATTATGGGGACGGAGCCTCGCACTCAGCTCAGCAGTGGCTCATAAAGCCAATAATAGTGTAGGGTTTAGGGGTTGAGGATTTGGGTGTTAAGGGATTTGGGTTTGGGGGGGTTGGGATGGCCATGATTCATGATTCCCCTAGGCCCTAAACCCTAAACCCTAACATCGCACTTTATTCTGTGAAGATTTGGGGTTTAGGCCGATTTAGGCCTTTAGGATTTGAGGGTGACTCGCCTTCCAAGCCCATACATAACTAAAGAATTGCCGTTGAGGGCTTTTCGGGCACCAAGGTTTGAGGATTATGGGTTATTGTTTTCAAGTGCTGCTAGAATCTTTTGGGTATATAGATGCCCTTCAACGAGAAAGATTCACCCAACAAACTCGCAAAAAGAAGCCCAAACTCTCCGAACCCCAAACATGGAACCTTAATCCTATAGTGTCCCACTCGAAAAGTAGCAGCCACCCAACTCTGGACCGCAATGCCCAAACCCGCAAGCCACCCCTAAATCTAAAACCTTCCCTACACCTTAAAACCTGGACTCCAAAACCCCAAACCGTGAGCTTGTGATCTCCTGTCGAAAAAAGCGCCGAAGAAGCCCCCTAAGCTCTATAGTGTTCTCGAAAACACCCTTAGCTTGATGCACCCAAAATACATAATACTCCTGATGTGAAGCCTACACTCAAGCTCCCAATTTCCTAGGTTCGAATCCCAAACCCTGGTCCTCAGTTCCGCGAGGGTTTTTGTGTCTTCTAGCATCAGTGTCAAGTAGCTCCCACCGTGTATAACCGTGTATATCTAAAATCTATAGTATGTTGTTTCGTAACATCATTGACCTCTAACCCTTACACCCCAAACCCTAAAAATCATACCCCTAAACCCTAAGCCCTAACCTATCATGACTTTTGGTTTCCCCTACTGTAAAATCTAAATCGACCAACTCCCACCGTGTATAACCGTGTATATCTAAAGTCTATAGTATGTTGTTTCGTAACCTCACTGACCTCTAACCCTTACACCCCAAACCCTAAAAATCGTACCCCTAAACCCTAAGCCCTAACCTGTCATGACTCTTAGCATCCCCTACTGTAAAATCTAAATCACCCAATCTGGATCCTGACCTCATGAACCTTCATAGAGAAATGCTAAGTGCATCGACCAACTCAACTCAAAGCCGAGCCGAAAACCCTCTCATACCCTAAAGCCCAAACCCTCAAACCCCCAGCCCCGTAAACCCATAAACCCTCCGCCTCTGCAGTTTGTTTTTTGAATGAGCCAATAATCTCTTCAGGCTCCGGCCTCCTCCATCAGCAAGAATGTGAGGGCAGCGAAATCCCAAGGGCACGATGCCTTTGCTGGTAAGTTTGCAAGAGGGATGACCGATGCTAATGCTTCAAGGGATGTTCACGACTTGTTGACAACATTCAACTTGGGATTACGGGTGCCCAGAGACTGCATCTCTTTTGCTGTAGCCACTGGGGAAGCTCCTATTCAGCTGCCTTGGATTCGGCCTAGCCAATGGGTTTCCTACATGATACCAAGGTGTCCTGAAACGATGCTTGGCACTGCAAATCAAGTTGGTGATCAGCTGGAAGCTTTCTGGGAGAGCTACAGACAGTCTCACCCTGGCCACCAAGTTTTTTCCGGCGGCAGCTCTAGAGTACGTCGTACAATACCTCTCCTTTTGTACGGTGACGAAGGTAGGTATTTGAAGCGGTCGAACTTTTTGATCGTGACAGCAGAGAGCTGCCTCGGCTTGCCTTTCTCAGCGATGCAATGTTGCTCCTGCAGGGATGACCCGGTTTTGTCACGCTACAACGACCTTGATGTGGAACCCCACCCTAAAAGAGCCCGGGCATCAAAGCAGCATTGCAATTCGAAGGGGCATCCGTACCTATCCAAGTTTCTGTGTTGTGGTATGGCTACCAAACAGTACAAAGATCATCCAGAGCTTATGAATGAGGCTTTTCGGTTGATAGCAGAAGACTTGGAGGATCTCTGCTCCAACGGAGTACAGATTCCCGGCCACGGCCGCTTTTATGGTGGCTTCCTAGGACTGAAAGGGGACATGGCCTTTCATCACAAGATTGGCCACTTGACAAGGTCCTATC